CTTTCCCATTATGAGCAATCCTTTTTGCATCAAAGTTCCAGCTTAAACGCATAATCCAGCATTAACACTTAACAAATAGGCAAGTGAAAAGACCAATGCAATTATAGGAAGCAAAGAAAGATACCAACTAATCAATTGCAGAGAGAAAACATTAAGAAACCGATTATCCTTGATATTAATGATTGATTAAAAGAATTGATAAGTCGATCAACAAAATATGGTATCTTCTTCCTGACCTGTAAATCACAGAGATATCTAAGTGCCTCTTTTTGGCCAGTGGGATATTTAAAACTTCCATGGCTAAGTCGCTGGCCCTACGTTTTATCAGCAAACCACTTATTCACACATGATGTTAACTTTAAGATGAACAAAGACCTGACAAAATGCACTAACTTTCTTATATAAAATGTTTATGCTACAACTTGTAAGAATTGTAATCCGATATATGTTGTCCAAATAAAAAAAAAAAAAAAAAAAAAAAAAACAATGGGAATGATTCTATCCACTTTTGCTGGTGTATTGGCATCGCTTGCAGTCATAGAAGAGACAGAGTTTTTATTTCTTTTGAATTCAGCTCTTCCATTTTCCTTGTTATTCAATGAGAATGGCCTTAAGTGACTCATATCTTGCGCCGCATCATCACTCAACTCTCCTCCAAAGCTCTAACCAGCTAAACAATTCTACCGTTCTTGAAACTGCTAATAAAGAACAGTAGAATCTCAGAAGATTTTGCAATTTGCAAAATTTGATGTCTCTCAGCTGGTATTTATGGAAATGTTGTTAATTACGGTGTTTTTTTATTAATTCTAATTAGTTGTTTATGGTCTAATACAAACAGATGACTCACCATGGCATTCATACCAATCTTGGCAACATGCATCATTTAAAGGATTGAAAAACAGAATGGATCAGATGAAAAACAACACTTCTTTCTTGAATTAAGTCCAGTGAAGCCAATTTGAAATATCTTCAGGGACAGCACAGACAAAGAAAAAAAAATCAAAAGGCAATGACCTTTTGTCAACCACAAGAGTCTTAGTCTTTGCGTTGGAAATATTGTTAGAGTGGTGGTATTCAAATTAACCTGCAAAATTGATGAAATGAAGGCCGAAAATTGGCAGCAAATGAAGTTGCAATTTGATAGCTAATATGGCAGCAATTTAGTTGCAAATATGATGGAAATGAAGCTGTCATATGAGAGCAAAAGTGTGCAGCAAGCTAAGCTGCAAATGTGAATGACAAGTCAAAGTATTTGGGAGGCACTTCTCAAACCACTGCTTTTCTATGGTAACGACAATGAAATCACAAGTTGGTCTTTGAAACGATGTATACCAGATTTGTGTCTTCAAAAGAATTGATGCGTCAACCATTGAAGTCCGGTCAAGAAACTTAGAATTATCATGAACGTAGGAGAAAATGAAAAAGAAAATCACAAAAGTCATGGTCTTTGATCCATCCACCGGTACTTGCTCCATTTCGTGGAATAGAACCGGCAAGTCAAAGTCTTTGGCCTTAAGTTCAGAAATCAAAATTTAGGTAATAATAATACGCTAACCAACCTCATGACACGTTTACCATAAAACCAAACATGGTGTAGAGTTGCAGAGACAATAGCCACAAAAGCCTTTGTGTTGAAAATGAAAATGCAAGGGATAATCTCCTATGCAATCTGTTATCAAGCCCTTCTGCTCTTGCTTTTCCAAATTCTAAGTTCCCAATCTAGAACAAATGCCACTCCAACTTTTAGCGGAAATGCAACCGATCATCTGGCCTTGATAGCCTTCAAGTCCAAGATTTCAAATGATCCTCAAGGGATTTTGAAGTCCTGGAACGATTCTATCCACTTTTGCTGGTGGGCAGGCATCACTTGCAGTCATAGACGACACAGAGTCACCATCTTGGACCTATCATCCAGAGGCTTGATGGGTTCTTTATCTCCTTCCATAGGGAACTTGAGCTTTCTTCGTGAGATTAGACTTTCAAATAACAGCTTTCATGGGGATATTCCACCTGAAATCGGACGTTTATTCAGATTACAGCTGCTAAATCTGAGTTACAATTCCTTTGAAGGAAAGCTCCCATCCAACTTGTCTAGTTGCTCCAACCTCAATGTCCTCCAGTTTGGTGACAACAAGTTCGCAGGAAAACTTCCAGTGGAGCTTGCTTCCATGTCGAAGCTTACAAATCTTTCTATTCGTGACAATCATTTCACCGGGGGATCCCATCTTTCCTTGGGAATCTTACATCTTTAATACACTTCGCTGCACGGTTAATAACTTTGGAGGTAGGATTCCAGATGCCCTAGGTCGATTGAGAAGCTTAAGATTTCTTGGACTCGGAGGAAATAACCTCTCCGGTAAGATCCCCCCATCAATCTATAATCTTTCTATCCTTTCCATTTTTTCCTTGGCTGACAATGAACTGGAAGGAGATGTTCCATGGGACATTGGGCTCACCCTTCCTCATCTAACATGGTTACAAATATGGGGAAACTCTTTTAGGGGGCAAATTCCAGTAACACTATCCAATGCTTCAAAACTAGAATATATTGAATTGGAGAAAAATAATTTCTCTGGTAAAGTAACAGTTCCTTTTGGGCATCTTCAACAGCTTTCATTCTTGAATTTGGGTGAAAATCATCTAGGAAGTGGTGAACCTGATGAAATGCACTTTTTCAGTTCTTTGGCCAATTGTAGCAATCTAGAAAGATTAGGTCTTGGGGGTAATAAGTTATCGGGAAGATTGCCTGATTCTATAGCCAATCTCTCTACCAATCTAATGGGACTTAACCTTGGAGATAATAACATATTTGGAGAAATCCCTTCAGGATTAGAAAATCTTGTAGGCCTTAATTGGTTTGCAGTAGGAAACAATCAGCTTATTGGAAAAATTCCAAGAGAAATAGGCCTGCTTAAACAACTACAGCTTATAGATCTTAGCAAGAATAAATTCTCAGGAGAAATTCCAGATTCTTTCAGAAATTTAACATTATTGTATGAGCTTGATCTTGATTACAACAAGTTAAATGGTAGTATCCCATCAAGCCTTGGGAACTGCCAGAATTTGATTTCATTGACCATCAATGATAATGACCTCAGCGATTCCATACCCAAAGAACTTTTCAGCATTTCTTCTCTGAGTGTTTTACTCAATCTTTCTAATAATCATTTGGTTGGATCATTACCTTCAGAAGTTGGTAAATTAAAAAACTTAGGTAGACTAGATGTATCTGAGAACAAGCTCTCTGGAAAAATCCCAAGTAGCCTGAGTGGTTGCACCAGCCTTGAGATCCTTAAACTGGAGAAAAACGAGTTTCAGGGCAACATTCCTCCATCTTTAAGCTCTATGAGAGGAATTCGAGCAATTGATCTCTCTTGCAACAACTTGACTGGTAATATCCCTCAATACATGGAAAAACTGGCATTGGAGTATTTGAATCTTTCTTTCAATAATTTGGAAGGAGAGGTTTCAACAGAAGGCATCTTTGCAAATGCAAGTGTGGTGTTTGTTGGAGGAAACAAGAAACTTTGTGGGGGAATTGCTCAGCTTGGGTTGCCCAAATGCAACAGCAAACAAGGAGACAGAGGAAAACTTTCACCAGTGATGACAATAACAATAGTTGTCTCCATTACATGTGCAATTATAGGAGTAATTGTTGTGTCTTTCTTCCTGTTTGGCTGGTCTAAAAGGAAAAACAAAGGCCAATCTTCTGGATCTTTAATGAGGGAGCCATTTAGGCAACTTTCTTATGAAGCTATCCTCCAAGCAACTGATGGGTTTTCTTCAACAAATTTAATCGGCAAAGGAAGCTTTGGTTCTGTCTATAAAGGAGTTCTTCAAGAAGATGGAACTAATGTTGCAGTCAAAGTGCTTGATCTTGAGCATCGAGGAGCTTTCAAGAGTTTCTTAGCAGAGTGTGAAGCCTTAAGCAACATTCGTCATCGGAACCTTGTGAAGATCGTAACTTCTTGCTCCAGTATTGATTTCAAAGGCAATGATTTCAAGGCTTTGATTTATGAGTTGATGGCCAATGGAAGCCTGGAAAACTGGCTGCATTCATCTGTTCAGGAAACAAATAATGGCCAATCCAAAGTCCAGAGTCTTAATCTTTTGCAGAGGATAAGCATTGCTATTGATGTTGCTTCCGCTCTTGACTACCTTCATCACCATTGCTTGAATCCAATCGTTCATTGTGATTTGAAGCCGAGCAACGTTCTCCTGGACAATGACATGACGGCTCATGTCGGAGATTTTGGGCTTGCAAGATATTTTTCAGAGCTAAGAATGCCAAATGCAAGTAGCTCCGTTGGAGTGAGGGGAACAATTGGGTACACTGCTCCAGGTGATCAAAATATTCTAGTTCTTTATGATTTCAATCTTTTAATTTCTATATACCCTTTAGTATTCTTTTGTTCAACCTAATCTTTTGATTTTCATCAATGCCAGAATATGGCATGGGAAGTGAGGTTACAGTGCAGGGGGATGTATACAGTTATGGAATTCTAGTGTTGGAGATGATGACAGGAAAGAGACCAACAGACAGCCTCTTTGAAGGTGGCCTTAACCTTCATAACTATGCCAAAACAGCCTTACCTGATCAGGTTATGGAGATTGCAGACCCAAAACTCCTACATGAAGCTCAAGCAGCTACCATTAACAGTCAGATTCGTGTTCAGGCACGGTATAACAGCCTAAGGGATTGTTTGATCTCTATGATTAGAATTGGCGTGGCATGTTCCGTGGAGTCACCTCAAGACCGTATGACCACAAGTGCTGTTCTCACTGAGCTGCATATGATAAGGAACAATCTTCTACGAAGCCAAGCACACTACTAGCATATCTCTAGGCTCTGGGTCTGAATGTTATTCTATATATTCAGTTATGAAATAAGTGAAATGTTTTTCTTTCTTTCTTTTTATTTTTTTCTTCGGTTTGTGAGAAGCAAGGAAAGCTGAAAAGTGTGTCGACTCGAATCATGTTATATAATGTTTATAAATTCTGTTTGCTCATCTCAGCTTCTACGGTGTTCTGGGGATCTCCTCCCTTCACCACTTGGGTTTTGCTTGTCTCTCATGAGCTCCCACCATGGCTGTTTATAGCTGGAGGAGACCTTCAACTCTCCCGTCCGATCATTCCTCAACTTCTCACGATTGATCGATAACGGCATTCTCGGAGAACCATCGTTCTACCTCGGTGCTGGACCCATGGGGAAGAGGAATCGGCCACAATGCAAAGGATGGAGCTTCAATTGGTTAATTGAAGGGTTTAAAGAGAATCCACTCTGCGATCGAGGGTTCGGTGATGAACTTAGCCCTAATCCGACTTAAAGGAGGAAGACGGACAAAACGCATGACATTTGTGCGTTTTGTTAATTTTAATTTAACTACTTTTGTTTCTTATCCTTTCTCTTTTGGAGTCTCAAAACTTTATCCCTTATATTTTCTTTGATTTCATTTTAGTCCCTGAAATTTACAAATAAAGTTTTATGAGTTTTCATACGAGTCCAAAATAATAAAATCTTGAATTAATCCCTTTTTAAACATATTCTATAAAATTTTGAAATCTTTTCAATATATTACAAATTAACAAAGCTTGATTTGAATTTTGAATCTTAAGATTTCAACGTTCAAAAATCAATTAATTTTACAAAGATGAAGTCTAAGGATCATTAAAAAAAAAAGCGTTAAAGACAAATTTATAATTTTATCTTTTTTAATTTCAAAAGATACTCTAATTTCTTTTTTTTTCTTCTTTTGTCAAAAAAAAAATGATATCTTAATGTGTAAATAATTTAGCTGTTAGTGTTGTTTTCAACTCTTGAGTAATTGCTTGAAAGTTAAGAAAAATGAATTTAGAAAAAGAAAATAGAGTTTTAAATATGATGATTTCATATAATTTGACACGATACCCTTGAACCCTCTGAACTTTTGCTTTTTATATTCTTTCAATGCTTTTAAACGTTTCAATGGGTTTAGAAAGAGAAAATGGAGTTCTAAATCTTATGATTAGGTTATGGGGATCACTGATCCAAAGCTCCTACACCACGCTCAAGCAGCTACCATTAGCAGTCATATTCGTGTTCGGGCTCAGTATTACAGCCTAAGGTATTGTCCGATCTCTATGATTAGAATTGGCATGGCATCTTCTGAGGAGTCACCTCAATACCTGATAAGCACAAGTGCTGTTCTTACTGAGCTGCATCTTATAAGAAACAATCTTCCACGAAACCAAAACAAACTACTAGCATATCCTAACCTTTGGGTCTGGAAGTTCTTAAATATATTTAGTTGTAAAATATATAATAAGTAGAAAGTGTTTGTGTTATTATTATTTTTTGGTTTGTGAGAGGCAAGGAAATAAAATGTCAGATTCTATTTTGCTATTTATGAAGCACAATTTCCCTTTCTTTTTTTTTTAAAAAAAAAAAAATTGTTTCTGTCTTTACTCTTTTGTGTGTCTGACGATTTGGTTCTTTAGCTTCTTTACTCGCTTTCATTTTAGTCCCTATAAAGCACAATTAAAGTTTTACGAGTTTTCAATTGAATCCAAAATTATAAAATCTTGAAGTAATCCCATTTTTAAACATTTTTTTGGCCAAAATCCCTTTTTAAAACATTGAAATTCCAAAGTTTTGAAATGATTAATTTGTAAAACATTGAA